GCGGGGAGCAGGCAAACAGATGCCGGTACGCACGCAAACATACGTCTTCATGTATACATAATTCTCCGCCTGTATGTGTGTTTTTTGTAGGCAAATGCCAGCGGCGGTCTCAATCATTTTTGCCACATGGGCAGTGCAAAAAACGACGCCATTTTGGCAACTGTACTTAATTGGCCGATCTTCTAAGAGTATAGCATGCACAGAATCTGTGGCAGTAACATACCTTGGCTCCGATCTGGTTGCCGCACTGACCAGCTTGAATGTGTACGATTTCCCTCATGTTGTCTTTGTATGGATCTTTGAACTTTTAACTTAAATTATCTCTTTGCTTAAAGCCTTGTCGAGCACGGAAATCACTTCGTCGGCGAAAAAAATACTGTCTGAAAATTGTGTGCAGTGCACCGCTATTTATATATAGCGTCTCGTATATCGATAGGAAATCGAACTTGGCCCACCCAAGCCCCCTCTGTTTAAATAGTTCGACTGCTGGGGATAAATGGCGGAAAATATTAACGATTGTACGTTATTCTTGTGGATCCATGCCATGTTTCCTCTGAACTTAAATCAAAACAACGACATCTCTCTCCTGAACTGCGCTAAAACTATTAAATTTGAATTATTTTCGGTGGAATATTAAAATACCCCGTTGGCCTACAATGGGTTAATCGTTCCCCATCGATAATTGGAAACCTAATTGCAAAATTTTGATATTCCGTCGAATATTACTAGCTAGATAGAACATCCAGCCCAGCCCACATATTTTTAGGCCGTTGATGAATAAATTTTCTTCAAGATTGGCTAGTTTCTAGTCCTTGCTATTATTGTATTTTGGCTAAAGCAAGGCTTAAGCAAAAAAGGTCAACAAAAAAACAGTGGCAACGCAAGTGAGTATGAAATGTCACGCCCACCGGAGTATGTGCTCAGCTATACCCTATTTGAAGAAACTGTTTTTCGAAGCTGCTTAGAAACGCAATTAATATAGAAATTATCTCAGATTGTTATGTTCTAGACATATGCATATGATGAGGGTTTTGTAAATATATCTCGATCCCGATACCCATATTTGGTTTCAGTGAGAAGACCACAAACTTCAAAATATCGTTAAACCAGAGACTGAATAGTTTTGGCCCTTATTGGTGCATTATATGACCAACATTTTCTCAGTTCCATAACATCCATTTCCCAGGGTATGCAAAATGTTGCTTATCCGCGCAATGTTGTGGAACAATGCTGCTCGATTTCACGGCACATGAGTCTTTCCCATACAAATTGATTGTTGCCAGCAGCATAACACGTAAGAAAACGTAAGTGAGTAGGGAATGGGACATTGTTGAGCTGAAAAGGGACATTGTGGAGAGAAAAAATCCCTCCACGAAGAGAGGATATCCCATAAAAAAATAGAGAGCAAATCCCATCGATACTTTCGAGTCGCAATGTTGCTGGTATTTGAAGACATGATGCGTGTATAGGCCTTTGTACACCCTATTTCGTTAATTTTATATGAAGATCAAATGTAATTTATTATGACCTTTTCTAAAATTGATACGTTTTAGACATATTCAAGTGTATTATTAGAGTCTTGTATATATTTATCTCGATCCTGATACCTACGGAGCCTGGGATGACAAACATTTTCTCATAAAAATATACCACCAAAATATATCATCACCAATACGACATCTGTTGGTATTTATATGACGTAATGATTTTAGTCCATAAGAATATATACAGACGGCGCCACTGCAAGCTTTTTTTCATGTAACTTACATTTCTTTATCTTATCTGATTAGATTTATCTATCTCGGTAGTGCCAAAATTGAGAGTGGTTTTCGTTCCTGTTAACATCCTTGATCACATAAAGTTCTTGTCCTGCGGTGCTTCAATTTCACGTACTTCACGGTATATAAAATGTAGGCAACATGAGGTGTGTGCCACATTTGTTCAAAATTGCTCTACTTAAACCGAACTAAATGTCTTCGGTTGTTCTGCCACCGGGGAGCCCTTATGTGCTCAACTGTTAAGAAGAACATTCTTAGGGATGTTTTTAAAAAAAATTAAAATTGAACTGCTCCATTCCCAGGTCGGGAGGCTCAACCTATACTCCCTCCTGAGGCTTCTCCTCATCTCCTCCCTCGTCTGAGTTGCGCGTGCTTCTTTAATGGAATGCCATTTCACTCTCTCAGCATAGTACAGATTGGTATAAAAACAAGTTAAAATTTATTTACAAAAGTAATATTTTTCTATTTTATTTTGTTACTTTCGTTCTGTTTTCTTTAATATTAAAAGAACATCTATAAATGTTTGATTTGCTTCCCAACATTTTATTTTGTTTCTCGGAGGACAACAAACGGCAATCAGAAGACCCGTGCACCAATCAATGTTGGCCAAACAAACACTAATCCAAAAAGGCTTGCTCGAGCAAAATTTGACTTTCTTCGAATTCAGAGACGTAGGCTTACAGAAAATATCTCGCTGTTTTCGTATTTCAAATAATTAAAGTTTTGGTTGGCCTTCTTGTTAATTGATATTAAGTTATGATTTTCTCGTTTCTTTCTGGCCCAAGCTTCGCAGGGCAACTGATCAATGGATCTGCGTATCGAGGTGGCATCTCAACGATCAGATCACCGTACGGTCTAGCTCGCTAGTTTGCTTTCGCGTTGAAATATATATGTAATAATAATATGCCGTATTGTATATAGTAATAATATGCGTGTATATATATAATATATAATTTGTATTTAATAATAGTGTATATATAATTTGCGGTTTTCGTATAATAATTATAAACAAATCATCATCTCGTATCCATATCATTTAGCATTAGTTACAAACTACAATTCGCGTATTTTTATTCATTTATAATTGTAATAGTAAATTTTGTTAGATTTCCTTCGTTTTTGTTTGTTTGCGGCTTAAATACTTGTTCTTTTTCTCTGTTAGTTTTTAGATGTATGTATTATGTATATGTGTATATCTTTTGCTAGGCGTGTGCTGTGGAGTCGAGCTCTTGTTCCTACATACTCGTATTCCTGCTGACCCTTCCGAATCACGGTAAACACTGCAAAAATGGCTGTGAGCTGTCTGTATGTATGTCTGTTTCTGTAACTATATATTGTAAGTAGAAGATCTGTGGAAGTGGCATCCGAGTGCCTGGTTCAAAATTTCTATGGCCTCAACGGAACGTCTAACTTATGGACTTATGGAATTGCTCTAATTAGTTGTCGTACAATAATTTCATTGCTGGAATCTCTGGCGTTTTCTTTAGCTTATTTTCTGCTGAATAGTGTCCCGTTTCTCCTATTCCTCACTATAGTTTTCTGTGTGGGCGTGGCATGGCATCACTTGGTAATGCGGCCAGGCGCATGCATTAAATATAAATTTCGATCTCTCCTTACTTTCTCAAAACATTTTGTGGCTCCTTAGGACTAATTACACATACACTATACTCGTAAATCGAATCGTTAGCGCTGCTTTTACAATAGTCAAATATATATATATATATATATCGAGTCGCGTGTATACGCGTATATGCGGATGTGTATGTATGTATGTTTGAATATTATGTGTGTGTTTGTGTTTTTATATCAATTTATTTAACAAACTACTAAAAATTACGTTTCACTACCAAAAACTACGCATAGTTGTATGTATATATAATATTTCCGTATATATAGTGTATATTTGTTAAATATGTTTTGTTTGCGCTTTTGTCGCACTGTTGCTCCGCTTTTAAAAATTCCATTTAAAAATGAATTCAATTAAAAAATCAATGTACAATAATAATTATAATTATAATAATAATAACTGTTTCTCATTCACGAATGGATTTTGTTTTGTTTTTAAAAGTTCTCCCCTCTCCTCTCGCTTCCACGGTTCCTCCTTTGTGTGTCTGTGTTTGTGTTTTTGCTTTTTGTTGATTTCTAATTTGATTCGTTATTTCTCTTTTATTTTTCAATTTTTGTTTAAGCATTTAAAATATCACCAATATTTTTGCTCATTCTTCCGATTGATTCTCGATTTCGTTTTCCCCCCATTTTTTTGTTCATTTTTTTTTTTTTTTTTTTTAGTTTTTTGCTTGTCTGTCGATTTTTTGTTTTATAAAAACTAAATAAAATTAAATACATACAATATAAAATGTACAACTATTTTGTGTTTTTGTTTTGTTTTGTTGTTGTCTCTTCCTTTTGTTGTTGGTTCTTTTTTGCTTTTGCTCTCCATTGCTTATGGTTTTTTTTTTCTTGTTGTAAAATCTTTGTTCTTTTTTCTTGCGGCTTTTGCTTAAGTAATCAAACGAAGTGGGGGGCGGCGCACAACGCACTGGGCGTGGCACAAAATTTGCATTAAGTACAAGTGCTTAAGTGTTCTGGTGCCGTGGCGAGGCGTGGCGTGGCAGGTCGCTTCTGCTGCGACTCTGACTACGTACGCATTAGCGACAGTGTATTTTGGTTGATTTTAAAGTACTTGTGAATACTTTTTGATTTTCCTCAGTTGATTGATGGCCTGGCATATGGTTAAATGGTTGTATGGAATGTCTTGCGAACTCTAGCCGCTACCACGCCCAGCGGCCGCACGCCCTGCACCTTGGACCCTGTCTAAGGTCGGATAATACATTCGCTACGATACGATACGATACGTAACGACAAGATACGTTGCGCTACAGTGGAGCCGGCAAAACTAGAAATTATAGTACATAGACGAACGAACTTAGCTTAGGTATACTCGTACACCCGCACGAGTAGGTATAAATACACACACACAATTAACAAACAAAGTAACTTCATTGGCAGGGACGGGGCATGGGCATGGGCAGGGGCAGGTGCAGGGGCAGGGGCCTGGGTCGGGCTCGTTTCGTTTCGGGATGGGGTTGGCCAAGACCAATAACAACAATAGGCAACAAAACAAAAATTGTGAACAAAACTGAGGCAACAATGTGGTGGTGCTGGTGGTGCTGGTGGTGTGTGTGGTGGTGCTGGTGTATGGTGGAGACTACTTCAACGAATCTACGGTATATTAAAGTCCTGCAGATTGAAGTTGTCGTTGTCGAGGGAGTTGATCAGATCCTGCGTGGAGAAATTGCTGTCCACGGGCAGGTTGTCCAGGAATTCGAGACACAAGTCATTCGAGTTGGCCACCACCGAGTTGATCGTCTGGCTTATCGAGCTGGCACTGGCAATCGTGTTGGATGCGTTGCCACCACCCGCTCCCACCCCACCGGCACCGACGCCGCCGCCACCGCCACCTCCGTTGTTGTTGCTGGCCGATCCCGGACCGCCTCCCTGGCCCTGACCCTGCATCTGCAACAGCTGCTGCTGCTGGTGCGTGGTCGTGGTGGTGCTTTGGACAAACTGCTGCTGCTGCTGCATAGTGATCTGCTGCTGGGTCTGCGTCATGTGCATGCTGGACATCTGCATCTGGCTGGCCATCATGTTGCCGCCGGCCGCCGACTGCTGCTGCTGCAGGAGCTGTTGCATCTGCATATTACCGCCTGCTCCGGGTCCCATGTGCTGTTGCTGCTGCTGTTGCTGTTGCTGGCGCATCAGTTGCTGCTGCATCTGGGCTGGAGTCAGTTGCATTTGCGGTACATTCGGACCGGACATCATGCCAGCGCCGCCGCCATTTGGTCCATTGCCAGGCGCATTAGGGGCTCCGTTGGGCATGAAGTTTCCTGTTAAGGGAGGGAGAGGTGTAGGGGAAACCAATCAAGTTAATAAATGCAGCGACACGGAGGCCATCTTCATTCCACTCACCACTATTGAAACCGCCTGGGCCCTGCCGCATGGGGCCCCCGGGTCCGGGGCCGCCGAAGCCCATCTGTGACTGCTGCTGGGACATCATCATGTGCCGCCATTCCTGCTGCGATCCCATGGGCATGCCGTCGGGAGTCACTTGGACATTGGGTGGACGCTGCTGGGGCCCACCCATGGGTCCGCCCGCTCCGCCGCCGCCGTACGGACCTCCCATTCCGCCACGTGGACCGCCGCCAGCTACGCCGTGCTGCTGCATGTACATGGCCGCGTGCTGGGGTCGCATCATCGGTCCGGAGGGAGGGATCGGCTGCTGGGTCATGCGGCGCATGGCTGCCGCCTGGGCAGCGCTGTTGGGGAAGCGCCCTCCGCCGTTTCCGCCTCCACCGCCGCCCACGCCCACTCCTCCGACTCCGCCCACACCAACACCGCCCCCACCCACCGTCTGCTGCATCATCTGGGCCTGCATCAGCTGCGCTTTGGTGGCATTGTACTCCGGCGGAGGGGGACGCGCGCCGGACATGTGCTGCTGCTGCTGCTGCATGGCCTGGGCGCGCATCATCTGCTGTTGCTGCAGGAACTTGGCCTGGTTAGGCCCAGGGCCTGGAACCTGGCCGGGACCTGACCCAACCCCGCCTCCCCCGCCGCCCATCATCATCTGGGCATTGGGGCCAGCCGCGTTCGGGTTCATCTGCATTGGGTTCATGGGTCCGCCCATCTGCATGCCCGGCATGCCGCCCATGGGTCCTCCCATCTGATTCATTGCACCGTTGCTGGGTCCACCGGCGGGCCCATTGCTGGGCATGCCTCCGCCGCCCCCGTTGCCGACGCCTACCCCAACGCCCACACCCACTCCAACGCCCGGACCCTGTGGTCCCTGCTGCATGAGCGGGACGTTGGGTCCGTTTGCATTTGCCGCTGCCTGCGCCTGCGCCGCTGCTGCCGCCGCTGCTGCAGCTGCCGCTTGCGCCTGCGTCTGACGCTGCCGCATGTTGGGCGGCACCTGCTGCTGCTGCTGCTGTTGTTGTTGGGCGGCTGCCTGTTGCTGCTGGGCAGCCGCTGCTGCCGCCGCCGCAGCCGCCGCCTGTTGTTGCTGCTGCTGCTGCTGCTGTTGGCTGAAGCTCATGCTTTGGCTTTGGGAGAGCGAGAAGCCATCGGAGGTTACTGCAAGGGGAAGGCGATTTTCGATATTGATTAGCTTTTGCGGAGGGAGGGAGAGAGGTTGGGACACTTACCGTTTGCGTTGCTCATATTTTGATTTGGTTGCTGCTGCTGCTGTCCGGGATTGGGTCCGCCCTGGCCCACGCCCACTCCGACGCCCACTCCAGCTCCAGCATTTCCGCCATGCGGTTGCTGCTGCTGTTGCTGGGGATTGTTTCCGCCGTTGCCAGGCTGCTGCTGCTGCTGCTGCTGCTGTTGCTGCTGCTGGGCCTGCTGCTGGCTGAAGAAGACGCCCTGTTGGGCGGCCACGGAGACATTGCTCTTCATATCGCCACTCAGATGCAGATGCTGACCAGCCGACACCTGTTGGGATGGGATGGAAAGGAAAGGAAACGATGCATTGCGTTGCGGTTAAGGATGTTATTCATATGGAATTTTGCGGTGAGTCTGTGTCCCAGCCGCTCTGCCACTCTGCTAATTTGCCATCCCATTGCCACTCAGACGACACATTTTGGCCCAGGCCAAGACCTGACACATTGCTTGGCATCCACAGGCAAAGCCGCAGCCAGAGACAGATCTGCAGCAGCCACCCCACCCCTGGGCGCCCAACACCTACTCCATTCGAAGCTGTCCCCACTTTGGCTGTCAGCTCCATGTGTCACACGCACTCGCAGACAGAGTGAAAAAGACAGAAAGAGAAAGAGAGAGAGAGGGAGAGAGAGGCTTTCAAGCTTATTATCGCCACGATGGCTTTCGAATCCTCATTGACTGCCAAACACTCACACACCCCCTCAGAGGCAAATGCAAAGAGAGAGAGAGATATAGAGAGCGAGAGAAGGGACGATGACAACAGCAAAGCATAAATCTTTCGGCACTTTTTCCTAGTCCACTACGTGCGTCTCTTTCTGTCTGCTGCTGTTTCGCTCGCTCGCACGCACGCACGGTCGGGCAAGCAACAAATTTGCCATTCATTTGTTATTGTAATGGGCCCGAGAATGGCGCAGCCGAAATGCAAAATAAACGGAGGACAGAGGCGGGAGCGATCGACCTCCGCTCTGCTGGCATTTCAATGCCATCCCTCTCCAACCTGTCGTCCTCGCTGCTGTCCTCGTCTCGGGTATCGTCCTCGTGCCAGTCGACTCCTCTCTCTCTCTCTCACGCATCAGCAGAGGCAGCAAAAAGAAATCTTGAGGCCGCAGCGTCGCTTGGGCAAGGACCACTATGGAAGCACCGAACACCCTGGATTTGAAGTAATCCACTGTGCGTTTCCATTGCTCCCTCTTTGTGGCCATGTCATGCCGTGACCCACCAGAGAGGCAGAGAGACAACACCAGCTTTCAAGGCTGCAAAGGCTGCATTAGCCCTTTGCCTGGCACTACTTGGCCGTTCGAGGGTATCAAGAGCTTCGGCCCTACCAAAGCGTACTTTTTTTTGTTGATGCATGTTTCTTTTGCTGCCGCTATTGGTCTGCATGTGTGTGTGTGTGTGTGTGTGTTTTCTGCAGCTGCACGCATTTTCATTTCATCCACGCTCGCGTGTAAGCGGTAGAGAGTGAGTGGCCCGGCGAACACTGGCGCAAAGTACACTGATTAAAAGTCATGGACTCTCGTCGGGGGCCTAATTGAAGTTTAGTGCCTTGGCTTTGGCATTGGACTGCTCTTGTTGCTCCTGCTCCTGCTCCTGCCCTGGCCGTTTTCGACTGCTTCCCATAAATCATTTCGCCTTCGAGGCCTGAGGTGTGAAAGAACCGAGTCGCCCTCCTCTTCGTGTGCGAAACAGAGAGCCACAGAGGGCAACAATCGCTTGGTTTGGTACATGTTGTACCCTGCGAGTGTGTGCTGTCACTGCCGTAGCATACATTTTGGGATCAGTGTTGCCACACAAATTCCCCCCATCAAGTGGAGTCGATGGGTTTCGATTGGCTCGATGGGGGAGGCAGGAAAGATCGATGTACAGAACGGTACCGAAGGAAACAAGTTCATAAAACAAATCATTACTGCAGCTTTCATAAAAGAGCAAACAGACATACGCCCACACACCACCCACCACCCAACACCCGCCACCCAACACCCACTAATACATAAAATATCAATAAAAAAAAAGTTTAAAGGTAACGGGCGAGGACGAGGACGACGGCTTGGCGGCCATGTAACCACACCAGGAGCAGGAGCTGAAGCAGGGGCAGAAGCAGGGACTGTACAGCTTTAGAGGGGTGTTGAGGCTTCTGGGGCAAGCCGGAGACGCCGCACGAGCGCGTAAATCCTGCAGCTATTACCCCAGCGCCGCCATATTGATTGCGCTGGAGACAGCCGCACAGTCACACACACACACACACACACACACTGAAACACACACAAGAGAGTGAAAGAGCGGCAGCAAGGACTCTTCTTCTAAGCAGGAAATGCGCATTTGACAAGCCAAAAAGATTGCCGCACGCCCCACGCGCCGTCAAGGGAATGATATCCTACTGGGTGCTTCGAGGGAAGTCAGGGGGCGGCTGCCTCTGGGGGTGGGTGGGTATTTGGTTGGTTTGGGTATGCCTTGCATATAGACTTGACAATGATATATGTGACTATCCTGTACGTGTGTGTGTGTGTGTGTGTGTGACATATGTAAGCCTGAGAGCGCAAAGAAAAAAAAAGAAAACGGAACAAACCGAATGAAATAAAACTCCAAAAGAAGTTCGGTCCCCTTTTAAGGGTTCGAGGAGCAACAGAGCGACAAAGCTGGTAACACTGTATGTGGTACTTCAGGCTTCAGGCTTTAGGCATCAGGCTAAGGATGACCAGGCACAACTGTACTACAGCCCGGGTACACTTGCACTTAGGATAATCGAAAATCCCCCAGTCTCCATTCCGAAAGCAGGTGCGAAAAATCCCCAACAAAAAGGTACACTTTTGATTAATTATTTTACAGACAAAAACCATCCTCCTGCAGTCTAGACTCTAGACCACACCCACAGCCCACTAGAGGAGGCAGAAGGAGCCTCTTTTCTATGCTAAACTACTAGCTTAATTGAAGTTACTTAAACATCCAACAACCAATACATAATCCACACTTTGTGCCGTGTCTGGCAGCGGTCCAAAAATTGAAGAGTCAATGAAATTAGCAAAGAGGGCCACGCCTACTGACGCCCACTAACAACTACCCAAAACATGATTTAGTCTGCGCTTTGCTTTCGCTCTTCGCTCCCATTTTCCATATTTCTCCCCTACTATTCTTTTTTTTTTTTGGCAACTGAAGCCAGAAAGTCCAAAATGAAGCCAAGAGAATGTACGGCAGGCGTACAGGGTGGGCGGTGGGCACCCTGTTGGGTGTGCTGTCATTTGATATTTGTGCGACAGAAACTAGCTGCTGCCTCTGCCTCTGCCCTGCCCTGCACTCTCTGTGTTCCGTAACAAAATTATGACAAGGAGAGAGAGGGAAATGGAGCTGAAGAAAACCTAATTTGGCAAAGCGTTAAAGCGGAGCGAATTCGTTTTTTAATTGCCAAAGACAGAGCCTGAAGCTGGACTAAAAGGCAAAGTAATGAACGGAAAACAAGTGAAAATCGTACGGAAATGCATTAGAGTACTATCGGGAGTGATCCATTCATTAGCGAGCATCGAACGGGCAAACCTAAACTAGAGAGCATGGAGGAAGCCTGAAAGGACTTCCAAGGTTGATCTCAGGAATCCATCGTTGTTGGCATTCCTTTAATTATGATCCAATTGGGTGTCGAATTCCCTGCACTGACTGACTGAACGATTGCTCCTTAGCACACTCAATCCAAACGCATTCCTGGCTGGCCTGAAAGTGCAATCTGCAATCGTCGACAGGATGCCAGGATGCCAGCGGAGTGGCTATAACTTTCACAGACATTCGACAACAACAAGAGAGGCCATATATCCATTTCCATTCTCATCCACAGAACCATCATCATCATCGTCCTTGTTGTTGATGCTGGCATATCAGCTAACTTTCAGCGCGGCAAGCGGTGGGCTCTACTCTACCTCTCCTCCCCAAGGACATGGGGACCCCAGAGGGAAATGGAGAAAGGTGGAGAGTGAGGCAAAGAGTCCGTCCGCATGTGGATGGGTGTGTGGGAACTTTTGAAACAGTTGCAGTTTGCACACAATGCCAGACAATCTGCAACCAGCGAACCCCCAACTATCGAGGGAACACAGAGAGACGGGGAGGGAAAAAGGATGGATGGACACAATAGCTGAATCCTCCTCATTCCACTTCGCCCCCCTCCCCTGTTTGAATGCGGTTGCTGCAACATCGGTGTCCGTGTCCAATTCTCTGTGTGTGTGTGTGTGTGTGTGTTTGGTCTGCTGCAGCATGTCAATGATCATAAATTAAACTTGCTATAATTATAAATTAAATTTTGGCATAAATGGCCCTGAGAGCCGCTCACCATACCCATCCCTACCCTCCCCCCTGACCCCACTTTGAATACACATACACCAGGGTAGAAGGACGAACCAGCCCCTGCCTGGGTGGGTGTTGCATTTGTTGGCCAAAATGAACTGCACTATATGCATATGTCATTCGGTCTGCGGAAGGGTCCTCCCGCAGAGGAGCTCGCTTAAATTACTGGGGTTTGGGCGGCGATGGATCGATTCGATTCGACTCGATTCGACTCGATTCGGTTTGTTTGTTCGTTCGGGGTCTCCATACAGAGACAGAGTCAGAGTCAGATACAGATACAGATACACAGCCTGTGACGGCAGTTGCAACTCAGACACACCTGTGTGAAATTTATGAAAACGTTTTAATTGATCGCCTGTCGGAAAGTAAACCTGGCCAGCCTCTCTTCATTCCTCCCCCTCTACTTTTCCTCTCTGCCAGAGCCGGAGCATCGGACTACCCTACTATTCGCTTGGGCATTACACAAATTCTATGGCCATCAGAGAAGCAATTAAATTTACTCGTAAACTAAATTAAACATCAAATACAATAAGGAATATATATCGAAAGGGAATCACTTGTAATTTGCTTATATACAGATTATATATACAGTTCCCAAATAGTTCCCCCTGAGTCAGAGCCCAGGAATGCCCACCAATCGACAGATATAGAACGCTGCTCTGGAAATCTGAACAGTGATTTTATTACTTAGATTCATGTCTTGGCATCAATTACGAATACAAGGTGGAGGAGGAGGCGAAGGCGGAAGAAGGGAGAGCATAAAAATAAAAATTAATATAAAAAGGCATTTCGCAGTTCGTTATTCCCATTCCATTCACATTCGCATTCGTTTGCTTATTTGTCTTGATGGATTTTTAAATTAAATTTAATTTGCAATTGCATTTTTCATCTGTTGCAGTGGTAGTGGCAGTGGCAGTGGCAGTTGTAGATGTGGTTTGCTTTAATGGCCC